ATCGACATGTGGTGTGACAGTTCTTGCCGGCTACAGAAATTCCAATTTTTGCAAGGGGAGGGAATCCCCGGGGTGCGTGAACCATTTCGCTTAAACTTTTACACCCACCCCGGAGCTTCCCTCCCCTGAAAAAAGTGGATTACTTCATGCAATATGAACTGTCGCACCACATGCCCCCCTTATTGGATGAGACCCAAAACATTTTTCGTGCCGGTTTTCTTATCTCGATGAGTAGACCGGAAATCGACCCAGGAAACGTGTTTACACTTGCCAAGATCACCGATACGGTAGGTATTGGTGTAGTGATAGTTTGACTATTTGAACCTTTGAAGTAACCGCAGAAATGATCTGTTTCTTCTGCTTATCGCCAAACGTCATATGGCGCTTCCGTGTGACAGTTGTCCGTTGTCTCTTTTTCCATGCAGGACCAATCGTTTTCGTTAGCAAGTCGAGGGTTTTTATGATCAATGCGCCGTAATGATTAATGGAATGGCATTGTGATTCCTCGAGTGGTAGTGAGTGAGCGTGTTTTCGCGGCCAACGACCATCACAATCGGGGAGTCCCCGGCAGTTTCTTATCGGATTTTCTCGTGCACCGTCTGTCTGTCGATCACCAGGTGGCTGGAGTGAACGTTCACTCAGAATAACGCTGACGTGGTCCTCTGAGAAGTGTGTTGCCGTCGAATTCAATAATGCAAATCGTATGGATCGATGTGCGCCCGTAAAGGAGGAGGTTTCTTTCTTGCGTGTGGGAGTGTGAGATGATGTCTCGGCCGACTGGTTAGATGAATGGCAGCCCACCATCGCGACGGGTTCACCCTCAACCAAGTGCGTCTCAGTTCTTCTCCTAAGGTCCAGGGCAGGGTCAACCCTACGTTGCTACAAGTAGCAACGGGGGGGGGGTCGTACTTGGATGGACTTGGGGGGGTCGTAGGTAGCACGAAACATGTGATGAGGTGAGAGCGCGCTGGAGAAAATTTGCCGTTTCAGCGTGCGTATATGCTCCCCCTAGAATATGTAGGGATGGAAATATAGGTGGAATGGGAAATTTTGCGGTTCCATGGTAGGTACCCTCCCCCTCCACGGTGTTTTTTGAGGGAAAAAGTAGTTGTGAAGAGGGGGTCGTAAAAATTTTGCAAAAATACCAACGATAGGACCGACCTGGTCCAGGGTCAGGTCAGGTTAATTTCAGGTCATCTGAAATGAAGACACCACTCATTTGCTCGAAGCAAGCCTAGCGACTAAGCCTAGGCCCAATCATAGGCTTAAGCATAAGCCAATGTGTAAGCATAAGCCTAAGCCTAAGCCTAACCCAAGCTTAACCTTAGGCTTCAATGATCGCGCAGCTCTGGTGACCTGACCTAGAGGAGAACTGAACGCCTCCCCCTCATCGTTGGTAAACCTGATCCACCGTCATCGTTGGCCCCGATTCCAATCGTAGCATTTCCTCGGTCAAGGCCTCATGAGGTACATATCGCACTATAGTCGCCATACACAGACACATGAAAACCCGTGTCAGGGCGCTGGAGTTTTTGTGACACACTTTCGTGGGGCTACCTTGGGAGAAGTGACATTTGACTAACCATAAGCGTAGCTCTTTGGGTGATTCCAAAAAACATTATTTGGCCTTCGAAGGTCTGTGATTATGACTGTAAGTCGATAGGTGGGTCATTTCAAAGAGGTCGAGCGAAGTCGAACTCGTTCAAAGCAACTTACATTTCGCGATCCCTCTATATTATGATTCTTTTTCCATGATACTTAACTTTCACGCTAGTTTTAGGCAGAAGTATTCCATGGACTGAAAATTGCGGATAATTAACTTTTTTAGATCAAAAACAGAACAACTACAAGTTGCAATAATAAGTCTCGACACACGCAAACGCAAGAAATGGGAACAGTCGTATCCTTCCCAGCCTGATTGTTAAGCAGAAATGACTCTGCAGCTTACGGTATTCTAGAAAATACTATTTTTTTTTGCAATTATCGCTATTCCTGAATTTGAAGGATTTCCCCATTTCTTCTTATAACCCTAGGGAAACTTGGGCTGTGTAGTCTACATGAAGATGGTCGCAAGTGTGTGTAGTTAGGGGTATCGCGACTGAACACTTCTTCACGGTAATGCACAGCTTTTCGCAAGCGGTCTTATAAGTCTGGGGCTTGACGCGACATCGAGAATGCCCTCGACGCAGGAGAAAATGACCGGTAAAAAGTAGAGAATGAAAACCATCTTTAGCGCTGCTTCAGCACTGCCACATAGCAATGTGCTCATCCTGCCGCGCCATGATTACCACCCCCTCGCAATGCACATGAGCCGAAGTCGTTTCCCGCAATCGGCTGAAATCCCCTCCTAGATAGACACGCACCTACTATAGAAACCCACCTCAGACCAACCGTACGCGGTGCGCTCGCACAAGAACTCGACTCCTTTCCCAACACTTCCGTCCCGCCATAGTCTTAGTTGCCCAAGCGATGGCGACACCTACGGCCATGCTACATATGCAGTCCACACTAAATAAACTGTTCCCACTGGACAGAGGCGGAAAAAAAAATCCAAACCGTTCTTCAATCTGCTTCTCAAAAACTTCCCCGAAGAATCGCCCATCGTGGTGACCGAGAAGAGTGGCAGCCCTTTAACCATAGCGCTGTGGCGAATCCAGCAGGTGTCTGGATCAGCCGCCAACCAATATGTTCATCTTCCGGGCACGGTAAGTTGGCGTACAAGTCATTTATCGCGGGAGTTAAGGACACTAGGCACCCATAATAATAATAATAATAATAATAATAATATAATAATAATAATAATAATAATAATAATAATAATAATAATAATAATAATAATAATAATAATAATAATAATAATAATAATAATATATAATAATAATAATAATAATAATAATAATAATAATAATAATAATAATAATGTACTGTAAAGTCGACATTGAACACGATAATATAATTCATAATAGAACAAAACATGAAATATATATATTATAAATTATATAATCAGGGTGGCGAAGCCTCGGAACTGCAGATACAAATATAATAATCGCATTCAGATTCATAATCATGAAGTTGAGAATGTAAGTATGCGTGAGACGCAATCCCGGAAGACCATAAGACCGAATCCCTAGGCCATTCACAGCCGAAAAAATTCGCTCAAGGCAAGAGCGTAATGTTTGTTTAATGGACGAATTCACGGATTTTATAAAGAAACCTTTTCAAAAACTACCTAGGGATGGTGAGTGGTACACGAAAGAAGGAAGAACCATGAGAAACGGCCCAGA